TTAAAAATTTGCCTTCATTCATTGCTTCCTACTCAAATCTATAGTGATAGAAAATTTGAATAATACTGAACCGCTTCTCTGAGATAAGAACTCATGCTAGTATTCATAATAAGTGTTTTTGAGGGACAATGTATCATTGATTACTAAACATTCCTATCTACACTGTAATAAAGTGTACACTGTAAATATTATTTATGCAAGATAAAGCTGCCGGAGGAGAGATAAGCAAAACCAAGGTAAGAAAAGTATAATTCGATGAAATTTGTCATTGTTATTGCTTAACTTTATCCTGAGAACCTGCTTCCAATAAAAATTAATTTTAACACACACAAATTACATTCTACACAACAAAAGTCGCCCAAACGAATATTTAATCATTACATATTACAAAAATTATAAACTATAATACATAACAAAAACATAATACACAAAAATAAAGTAAATATAAAAATTATAATAGTAAAGTGACATTTCATGTGATAATGTACCACTTTAGTAAACGATTGTAAATTTAGTAAAATAGCATATTGTCAGTCAAAATGTGAAAACAATTTTTCAATTTTTTACAGTAGAAATTATGTAAAAAACCTGTTATCGACAATAAAGAAACTTTTTGCTAAAAATACAAAGTAAAATGTACAAACCAGAGCATTCCCAACATTTTCCGATCGTTCAGGGCCGGCCCCTTTTAATTTACGGTGGATCCCCGCCGCATTACCCGAATTACCAGTAACAGTATAGAAAACAGAAACAGCCCTCGTAAAAAACATTACGGGACATTATCGTTTATCTACCATAAAGGCGGAACGCTCCCCTGCGTCCCGGACGCGCCCCACGATGACAGTAATAAACAAAAGAAAAGCGGATTACGGCGCAGTTAACTCGGATCAGAATTAGAGTCATTCATTGGGCCCGCCGGGGCTAACGTAAATACAACTTCATCCGGCCTCCGATGGAGAATAAACCGGCGACGAGACTTTTCGCGCGATCGGGGACGCGTAGGCGTAGGGACGGCTAATGGGGCGTAATTAAGCTAATGGACTGCAGGGGGCGCCGCGTCGGGGTCAAGTCGTGCGCCCGGAGCCGTCCTGGGTGGGCAAAATGTTTCCGGTTGGCGTATCTTCATTCTTTTGAGTTTCGGAGACGCGATCTGGTTAGAAATTAGTTACGGTAAAAGTGTATGTCAAATCTTTGAGTAATAACTGGCGTCAAATACAACATACAATATCTACTTAATACATGTCTTAAATTTTAATTAAAAAAATTCAAAACCCAAGTATGAATAATGGCACTTTTTTATATAAATTTGTTTTCGGAACCACCACTTCTGAACAAATTAAGATACGGAAATAAAGTTTCTGAAATAAGTGCGTTTCTAAAAACGAATGATAGAGGGCACGAAAATTAACAACTTTTATTAAGCAACTGATGGTCTCTAAAACATTACGTTTTAAATTAAAAAAAAAGTTTACATGAAGGTTTAAACAAAATTTGAAGCCGCCCCTGTCAGCTGATATCGAAGTTGCCGCGCGCCGCTGTGCAAAAGCCCTGATGACGGTTTTGACGGTTTAAATTTTGTGTTCGAAAATGCTGAAATTTATTCCAATCTTGTTTAAAAGTAACACAAAAATTAAACAAATTAACAATTACTTACCAATGGGCGATATGCTCTACAAAAATTGTTCAAAGTTGTTTCCGTCTGCTAATAAACTTGCTGCCAAACGACGGTCAAAGTTAGTCCTTATATGCGTAAATACATACTCCGGGCATTTGTCGAATTTCATTAGCTGCTGCAAAAATACGCTATTGAAGATCTGCTGCATCTGCTGTGTTCGGTACATATTGATTACATGTCCATTTTGTCCTATCCATCCTTGTCCAAAGATGGTATGCAAAAATTCACAAACTGCACGAAAAACATGGGGAGGGGAACCATCACGTTTTTCAACTAATCCGGTAAGGCATTCACTCAAAATAAGCAGCACCATTTAAAAGTGCAGGTAACAGTGTCGGACTTAGTAATCTGTCACCAAAAACACCACATCACACATTCACTGGAAACCATTGCTGGAACCGAGATCGCTATACAACGTTTAAGGATTTGCATGAATGTTGTGAAAATTTAATATGCCGTCTCTAGTAAAACAACATTCATCAGTAAAAAGCACCTTGCTTGTAAAATCTGGATCTCGTGCTATTTGATATCGAAACCACTGGCAAAATTCCACACGGGATTGAAAATCATTGTTATTTAATGCCTGCACCCTTTGTACATGATAGGTGTGTAATAATTGTTCCCGTAGTACACACGGGAACACACGGTACTGTTAATTTTATACGCCGACTAAATAATACTGCGATACACAACGCACATGCACAAGATGCACAGGGTCGGCTTACAAACAGAAGGATTTAGATCATCAGTTGCTTAATAAAAGTTGTTTATTTTTGTGCCCTCTAACACCCTTTTCCACTTATTTCAGAAACACTCTGTATATACAGGGTCGGAAAGTACCGATGGTCCATCTGCCGTTACGTGAGAGCGATAAAGTAAGTCATAGAAATTCGTGCGATAGAGAAAGATGGCTATAATGAAGGCGTCTAATAGTCACCGCCCATTTCGCCCTTCCACAAATAAGAAGTGGATCGTATTTGTGGAAGGGCGAAATGGGCGGTGACTATGAGACGCCTTCATTATAGCCATCCTTCTCTATCGCATGGATTTCTATGTCTTACTTTATCGCTCTCACGTAACGGCAGATGGACCATCGGTACTTTCCTAACCTGTACAGTCGACACATCAGCAAATTTTGAGAAGAGAAAGAGTTTTTGTTGATTTTCCTAAGTCTCGAGGCCATTATACACAATTTTCTTAAATTGGAAAACCTTTCTATCTTGGCTGTTTTTACGTGTTAGTCTTTGCCACGAGTAATGTTAGGAGAACAAGAATACAAGGTATCCCTTTGAAACGTTACATTATTTAACAATTCAATTTCAGTTTATTGGAAATGCATTTTTGTATTACTAATATTAAGACATAATTTTCAATGTTTATTTTGGATCATTATTAATAATTATTATTAGCTGCTTATGGGTTTTGCTGGTATAATTCAATGATAGTTAAGGCACGTAACCATAAAATATTGTTTCCCACAAGATCATGTTAAGATTTTTATTTATGAGATTACATATCTTTTGTATATCTGTATATTAAGTTTATTATTATCAAAAAGCAACAAACCTACCAGTCAATATTGAGCGATACAGGCAGATCCATAGTTCTAGGCGTAGGGTATATACTTCGAGTGAGTGCGAGAGAGACGCAGTATACGGAGGCGGCCAAAAGCAATCGAGAAACGCGGCGCGCGTGCCTTATTAACAATAAAAAATCAAGTCTTCAGAATAAAATATGCCGGCGTAACTCTTCGGATTTTTGTTAAGGGATGTTCAAAGGTTATTTAAGAATTTTGGCAACACTAAAAATTGCAATTTTTAATATAGTTTAATGACGCTGAAAATGGTTAAAATCGCATTTTTTCTAACAAAAAATCGTTAATATCTCGATAACGGTAGATTTTAGAGAAAAGTTGCATAGGAACTTCATTGTTCAGGATACCCCAAAAGGTCTAAACAAAATTATTTCGAGGAAAAAAATCGAAAAATATGAATTTGTTTAAAAAAAATTGTTTAAACAATGTTTGACCATTAGTAACGTTTGGCAACATGCGGATATAATTCAAGGGTCATTTTTTAATAAGATTATGAAAAAAAAATCGGATCCTAGCGGGAGCGAGGATACAGCCTGAACTAACAGGGAATGCCAAACATTAATACAAACTAAAATTAGAAAATATCTATTATTATTAGACACACCAACTAAAAAGAAATTATTTTATTAAAATTACCTTCATTCCGCTATTAATTCGACCCTTCTAAATTTGTTTCTAAGATCTGGTTTTAGTTGAACCTCGAACAGAACTAGAGACTGCTTTTCGAAAAAAGATCTACTAGTGCCCTCGCCCTACAACCAACCGATGCAAGAAATTACATTTATTATTTATAACCGGAAGTTATATATTCGCCGCCATTTAAAAGTAATACGACCGCCGCGCCGCTAGACACCACGTTAACTTTAATGCATCGATATGAGTAAATCACACGATCCGAAGTGAGTCTCCCTCTGAATTCCCATTTATTGGAGATCTCCGCAGTTTTATGAAAGTCAAATCGGCATGCCCGACTCCACTTGCAGCGGATTTTCGAAATCTTTGTGCAATTTGTCTCTCCTGTACCGTCAAACGCAATAATCCGACCGGTAATGGGGCCGCATTTGTTTGAACCAAATAAGCCGGCATCGATAGAGTTCCTAGGAGTTAATAACGACGTGTAAGCTATTACGGGAGGATTCCGGTAAATTGCCGGTTTTATAGACGAGATTAGTTAGCAGATTATTCAATTTTAAACGATCTGACGAAGTTTTAAGAATCTATGCTATTTGTCTTTTCACTCGTTCGCTTAGTGAGATTATGTATTACTGGACGAATTTTGGTGGAGATCATTCAAAACTTACATAATTATTTGCTGCTTTCAAAACAACTATTTTTATGTCACCTTTTGCTCTTCATCTTGAACTGAATTTAAATAAATCAAAACATTGCAAAATTGCTACTACGCAAATGGAGAATATTCCTTGAATTATTTCAAATTCAGGAGGACAAAAGACACTGTTTTAAGTAAGGTTTTGATATTGCCCAATAGATGTTTCATATAAAGGCAGCACAAATCTTTCTCCAATAAAGAAAACCAAATCTTTGTCTATAATGGAACTGTATAACCACCTGAGCAACATGTTTTAATTGTATAAAGACGAAATATGTATAATACACCCTGTAAATAATAATTAGTCCCATAATTTGAATGTTATCATACATTTTAAGCATACAGTATGCGCATAATATTAATTTTTGATAAAGATGGAACATTCACTAACAATAAAAGATAAGTAAATGCATTTCTACATACAAATGGTTTTACTCAGTTCCACTTTCTAGTAGGTACAATGAAAAATTTTACTTATTCTTGTTGTTTGTTGCTTTTAACAGTCTTTGTTACTGGGGAAGGTAAGATTATTTTTCATAACTTTACGTAACCTAAATTATGTAAAAATAAAAAATATAATATAATAATATAAATACTTAACGAAAAGAAACGTTTTCTAATTTATTAAAGCAGTGAATTTGATTTTTCTTTTAATTTTAGCATCTGATGAATGTGACGATCCAAATGCATATTATGATAGTTGTGGTTCGGCTTGTCCACCTACATGCCAAATTCGACGACCTGGGTACTGCATTCAAGTCTGTGTTGCTGGTTGCTTTTGTAAAAAGGACTTTACACTCGATGAAGAGTCGGGAAAATGCGTGAAATGTTATTCTTAATGTACAGCAAATAAAAAAAATTAATATTTTAGTAGAACTTTTATTTAAAGCAGATTTCAATTTTCGATATGTACCAGTAATTTGAATATGTCTACGAAAATATTTCATACACAGGATGTTTATAAACTTGGAGAGATATTTTAATGGTAAGTAATGTATTAATAATAATATTCTACAAAACATGTTACAAAACCGTACTTAAAATTAATAATGTTATAACTTATTGAGAACCTCTGTAATCGTACTCAACTTACGTAATACATAAAAAGAGGTGAACAGTTGCAGGCGTAAACGCCATATCATCCGCTTTTTTGTCCCATTGTTATGTCTATCGTGTGTAACAAATTTGAATAAATATACTAAAAGGCCTATTAAATACAATTTATGTAGGTACTACAATTTCGAAATAAGCATGCACCAACAGAGGCAGGCCTATCGGTGGAGTCAGTGGTTCCAAAATGGTTTCCATTGTATCAATGTGGTAAGTCAGCAGGTATTAAAAAATATTCTATTTGCATAAAATATTTCTTCTAACATAATTTTCATACTATTTCGATTTATTAATTTACTCCTCAAATATCTTCTCTAAATGTATTGCATCTTTTTTATCTAATTCTATTTATTTTTAGAGAAACGATTGTTTTGACATGAAATTCAAAGATTTTATAGCAATTGTTTTCCAAATTCAGTGATGCCCGTTGTACCGTTTATTCTTGGACACCAGATGTAACTTTATACAGAGCGATCTACAAGCTATGAGAGATGGCAACCGGGATAATTTTAAATATTTTTTTTCTTATATGAACATAGGTCCGATCTGTTTTTGTTTTTTTAGTTAGTTACAAGTATTTAAAAAGATATAATTTCATATTTCAATAAAGTAAAAATAATGGTTGCTATAAGAATAATTATTATATATGTTTAAAGTTTAAACATTTATTAGTCAAATTAACAAATCTTAAGACTATAAAAATTGTTCAAAATGGCCACCCCCGCCTAGAATGCAAACCCAACATCGGCGAATTAAAGATTCCTTCACTCGACGGATAAGATATGGACCATGTCTTATCTTCTCGTAATTTTATTAAGAAAATATTAGTCAATGACCATCGGCCATCGTTGACATTACGTTCTTTATTCTTATCTGCTAATTCTTTTTTTACGCTTTGGTGACGTCGTAACTTGATTGAGACTACGCACACTGTGGTACCAAAAAGTGCACAAAGATGGCCTTTGAACAATATACAGGGTGGCCAAATGAAAACGAAACAGAGCCATTTTCAGAAACTGCGTCAAGATAGTAGAAAAACGCTCAGATCCGTCAATTTTAGATTAAAGGGGTACATTCTTTGCTGGTATTTTTGACTCCGCCACTTTCACCCCCAAACAAGGGGTAATTCCGCCCAATACTTATTAAGAATTTTGATTTTAAAGTTGAAACTTATGTACAAACAATTAGTAACGGTAAAAACGTCAGTCATTCGAGTTAAGCACGCCAATGGTATAAATTTAGTATTTCTTGCGTTACGTTGGCTTTTGGCGATTTATTATCACTATCGTAAAAAAACACAATTATAGAAAACAGAAATGAATGCTATACACACACAATGAACGTAAAATAGTGGATTCCAAATTATTTTCTAGTACTATTTGGAAGCGTTGGTTGGTAGTCTATTTAATTGTGTTTTTGAAAATTAAACACTATGGTTTATTCCATTGCGAAAAGGATAGATATCATTTCGAATTAACAATAAATGTGCGAATAGAACAGCTTAGCTATTTAATGAACAACATCAAGATCGACATATCAGGAGGAAGTATGTTCTAGAGTTAGTAAAAAAGTTTCAAGAGACAGGGAACATAGTCAATAAAAAACGAGAAATTGAAAAACCTATAGTTAATGAAGCTAGTGAAGTTGCAGTTTTGGGACAAGTTCATCTTGATCCTACATTAAGTACGAGGCAGCTGGCATCTGTGTCTGGGATCAATCGAACTAGCATACAAACCATTTTGAAGAAGAATAAATTCCATCCATATAAAATACAATTAGTCCAGGAACTTCATGATTATGACCGCCGTTTGCAATTTTGCGAAATAATGAGTGAGCGAGCAAGCAACGATTCACAGTTCCTTTTTAACATCTGATGAATGCAGTTTTTTCTTGAACGGGACGGTAAATCGTCACAATTGCCGCTATTGGTCCGATTCAAACTCAAGAGTTTTTCACGAGGTGCATACACAGCAACCGGAAAAATTAAATGTATGGGCTGGAATTTTCGGTGACCGGCTGGTGGGTCCTTTTTTTCTACTTGGTAATTTGACTGGCCAAATGTATTTGCAATTACTGGAAGACGCTATTGACCCTGCTTTGACTGATATTATTGAAAATGTTCTGATGACGATCATTTGATTTTTCAACAGGACGGTGCTCCTCCGCATTATGCGTTAATTGTCCGTCAGTATTTGGACCAACGTTTTCTACGGAATTGGATTGGGAGAAGAGACAGCATTGAGTGGCCTCCACGATCACCGGATTTACCGTCCCTTGATTTCTTTTTGTGGGGATACCTAAAAAGTAAAATCTATAAAACACAGCTAGCGTCGCTGGAAGATTTGCGTCAAAGAATCGTCGACGAATGCCGTCGAATCACTCCGGAAAGGCTTCGGAATGTGCGCGAACGTTTCGAACAAAATCTTTATTCTTGTATGGAAGCGAGCGATCGTCAGTTTGAACATTTAATCAACTAAGTAGTAAGTAAGCAACTAAACATAATTTAAATTTTAAAATGTAAATTTTTTTCAAAGTATTGGGCGGAATTAAAAAATTTAAAGTCTGTTGTAAAGAGCATTGTAAGAGCTTTCAAAAGAAATATTACTCAACCCCCAATGCCATTTAAATATTTTGGGGTGCTGCTTACCCTTGCTTGGGGATGAAAGTGGCGGAGTCAAAAATACCAGCAAAGAATGCCCCCCTTTAATCTAAAATCGACGGGTCTGAGCGTTTTTCTATAAACCTGACGCAGTTCCTGAAAATGTCTCTGTTTCGTTTTCATTTGGCCAGCCTTATATTTTTTCTCCTTGAAATCCAATAACATTTTCGAATGCTGTATCTCTAAAAAGAAATCCTTAGGAATAAGATTCGATAACGTGCCTAAAATTGGATTCCTTTATCACATTGGATACCTTGTAGAATCTTTCTCATTTTTATTGCCTTCGCATTGTAATTTGCGTTTATCTTGGTAATAAAACATCTCATCAAGTAGAATAGAACTTCTCAATTTTGCCAAACCGTGTCCCCTCTAAAAGCCAGCAGAGCCAGATCACGTACCAAAACTACAAAAATACGGAAACAAAATTTGCCCGATGTATATTCGCCCCAAAAGAGAGCATGAATGTATCGACACGTAAAAAACGTCTTGACTGTAAAATGTACTGAAAGTTTGCCCCGCTGAAGTTTCTTATGTGGTAGGCGTTCCCGTTGAAGGAAAGTTTGAATTATGCATCTTAGGAACACAGTTCGCAGTGTAATGCATGCAAACAAGAACCATGTTACTGCCGTCAACAAACTGTTTACCCTGTAATGAATGTATTTTACACGAAATTAGGTGCATGCTAAGCAGGGGCCTCGACGTACTTGTGGAAGTAAAAAATATTTATAACAGGGTTCGTATAATCAATAATTTTTTAGCATAAAATTCATACAATAGTACACAAGACGATATGCTTTATCTTATCGGAAGGTAAAATATCTTTCAAGCCTCCTAGATCCTTATGTTTTTATAACTAACCTTTAACTGGATTCTTTTACCATTGGATGAACCATTAAATTTCGCATTCAACGATGTGTAATACTTGGTTGAAGAGCTTTTATTAAGGGCCTAAAAACGTAAATTTTACAATTAATCGTAATATGACTATTTTTTTATAATCAAGCTATACAGGGTGTCTTACCACCAACTCCATTGATGGAAATCTGCGAAATCCCTCTAAGGATTTTTTTGAAAATGTGGTGATATGATACGGGCCGTGGGACCTACCAAGTTAAAATATTTTCGAGGTTATCGTACTTCCAGTTATACCGAAAGTTGATACCAATTTTCTTATTTTAAAAGGAACCCCCTGTATATTATTGTATTTTTGGAGAGAGTTGCCACAGACATAAGTCGTTTTTGACACTAAAAATTAATGTAAACACTATCGCAAAAACGTTAATACTAACATCGGATTTGACGATATTTTTCATGAAGCACCTATTCCCAAATGTTTTTGGATAAGTTGTGAATCACCCTGTATATGAGGCTGAGGAGTTTTACGAAATACGCTGTTCATATATTTATTTAAATTCACAAATAATATAGGTATTCCTATAAAATGAATCCACATAATAAATAAATGTTTATTTTGCCATATTAGTAGCAGAACTGTAGATACTACAAATAGGATAAATAATAACATGAAGATAAAGTTCATGCTTATGAAAATATGTACTATAAAATTTTCCACTCATACGCTTTCAAATCAATCAATCAAATCAAACCGTATTTGTTTTAAACAATTAATTTAGCGTCATTACTGCCAATGTGGGAGTAGCTAAACTTTTTTCAGAAACTAAAAAACTAGCTACATATACGAGTATTGACGCCACTGTCCTCGGATTAGCAAGGTTAGAACGCATCTGTTAATAGAATGAAAAAAGCGGATTAAGCATAAAAGTAGGCTAGAATCACCTGGGCTCTCCTTTTCACAGAATAAATATTCCCTAATGGATTAGCTGACTGTAAACGAGCAAGCCTGGATATAAAAATGTCTAAAAAAAATTTTAATAAAAATGTAGCTTTAAAGAGTGGGTACGAAAAAAAAGCGTTAATGTTTGAAATTCAGTAGATCGATATACGCGAGTAAAATTGCTAAGACCTCTGCAGAATNACTGGATTCTTTTACCATTGGATGAACCATTAAATTTCGCATTCAACGATGTGTAATACTTGGTTGAAGAGCTTTTATTAAGGGCCTAAAAACGTAAATTTTACA